TACACTAGACTTAAGGTTTTTGGCTGTGCTGCCTATTCCCATCAAAATGAAGGTAAACTTGAACCAAGGTCCTTGAAGTGTGTCTTCTTGGGATATGGGGAAGAGATCAAAGGGTACAGACTTTGGGTTAAATGTAAAAATTGTTTTCAAGTTATTATCAGCAGAAATGTTATCTTTAATGATAATGACTTTCCCTGCAAAACTGAATCTGAATTTGTTTCTCATGATGCTGCACCTACCATTGAGACCATTCTTGAAAATCAAACTGAAAATCAACATGATTTGATTGAGGTGGAGTCTACTCAATCTGATGTTAATCAGATCTGAGTGAACCTGATGATGATATAGAATCTATTAATCCTTCTTTAGTTGACTACCAACTGACCAGAGATAGAAAAAACAGAATTCCTTCTATCAGATTTAACAGTGATGATTTTGTTACTTTGTTTACTGCTCTTGATTCTCTAAATTTTGAACCATCTACCTTTGAAGAAGTAGTAAATTGTCCTGAGTTTAGGCTTTGGAAAGAAGCTATGAATGAAGAAATTGAATCTTTTATTAAAAACAGGACCTGGACTTTGGTAAATAAACCTAAGAATCAGAAAGTTATTGACTATAAATGGATCTTCAAAATTAAAGAAGGAGATTCTAATGTAGGGGGTAAAAGATATAAAGTCAGACTTGTTGCTAAAGACTTCACTCAAAGGAAGGAGTGTACTATAATGAGATATTTTCCCCGGTTGCTAAATACACCTTCATTAGAATTCTGTTTGTTTTAACTGCTCATTTTAATTGGGAACTTAATCAGCTTGATGTGAAAACTATTTTTGTGAATGGGGATCTTGAGGAACCCATCTATATGAGACGACATGTTGGCTATGAAGTCAAATCAAATGTTCTCAAGGTCTGCCTTGAAAAAATTTCTTTATGGTTTAAAGCAAGCCCCCAGACAGTGGTACAAAAAGTTCAATTCTTACATTGAGACTTTGGGTTTTATTAAGAGCAGTTATGACTCATCTCTCTTCTTCAAAGGGTCAGGAGGACCTGAATCTATTTATCTACTTTTATATGTTGATGATATGTTACTTGCATGTCAAACCAGATTTGAAATAGATTTTATTAAATCAAAACTAACATCTGAGTTTGAAATGAAGGATTTAGGGTAAGCTAAAAAGATATTAGGCATGGAAATAGAGAGGAACAGAACTGATTGCATGCTATGGCTTAGACAAGGCACTTATATTAAGAAAATACTTGAGAAATTTTCTATGATTGATTGCAAACCTGCATCTTTGCCTATTGTTAATCACTTTAAACTTTCTAGTGAACAGTCGCCTAAAATTGATGAAGAGTTTAAAAGATTCCATTCCTTATGCTAACACTGTTGGGTCCATTATGTATCTTATGATTTGCACCAAACTTGACCTGGCTCATGGTGTAAGCATTTTAAGTAGATTTATGGCTAATCCTGGTGAAACACATTGGCTTGCTATGAAATGGATGTTAAAATACTTGAAAGACTCATCTGATTTAGGTCTGTTGTTTAAAAAATGTAATGATGGCATTGTTTTAAAGGGCTATACTGATTCTGACTTTGTTGGGGATTTAGATAAAAGAAGGTCTACCTCTTCTTATGTTTTCACTTTGTGTGATGGCTGCATTAGTTGGAAATCTCAATTGCAGAAACTTGTTGCCTTATCTTCTACTGAGGCAGAGTATATAGATGTATGTGATACTATTAAGGAGAGTCTTTGGTTAAAAGGGTTACTGAATGAAATTGGTTTTATGAATGACTCTGTCAAGATTTATACTGATAATCAGAGTGTTATACATCTTAACAAAAATCCTATGTATCATGATCGAACTAAACATGTTGACATTAAGTTTCACTTTGTGAGGAATATGGCTGAAAAAGGTTTGATCAGTCTTGTGAAAATTTCAACTGAGTTCAATCCATTTGATCTTGGAACCAAAGTTCTACTTTTGAATAAATTTAGAAACTGCTTGAATATTCTAAACATTACTGACTTGCAGTAAGGTTTAGAATAATCAAGTAGAGTTGTGCATGAATATAAATTCTAACTTTTCTATTTTTTGTTTTTACAGATTAAATAAAAACAAATGAAACATATTGTGCCTCTAGTACATTAAGTCACCAAAAATTATTCAGCAAGATGGAGATTGTTATGTTTTGGGCTGCCTCATAATTACTTGGCCCTGTTGGTTGTATTGGGCCTGTGTTGTAATGTTTTCTTTGGCCCATAATCGTTTTCTTTGGGCTTTGCTATCTGGCCTTACACTTGGCCAGATCATCACCGTTGATTGGAACCGTTTGATCTCCTGCTTTAAGTGATTCTCGAAGCTTCATTTCTTTGAGTCGGTTGGAGTGACTTTGTGAGATATTCTCTCTATGTGATTAGAGTTATCTCTCTCTCCGTCGTTTGAAAATTTGAGTGATTTTCTGTGTAATTCTCTTAGTGATAAAGCAGTGAGTACACTTGATGTATATTCTATGAGATTGTGTATAATTTCTGAATGATTCTTGAGGTGAGAGAAATATTCAAGAAATTTCTAATTTCTTCTTACATTGTAATCTGTTCTTGATGATTTTAGTGGAACTAGAGTTTAATCCCTTTGTGTGGAATGTGGATGCTCAAAGGGTGAGTAGGCCTAAAACTGAACATTTGGACCCTTTTTGGGTAAAAAATCATTTGTGTTGTTTCTTTATTTCTTGCACTTTACTTAATTTTTGTGTTTTTTGTGAACTTTGGGACCAACATTGTGTATATTTTGCAAAAAAATAGACAGCGAACAGTTTTAGCGAAACATTTTAAATTTATGTTGTTTGGTAATATGGGAATTTCAGACAATGACAGAAAAATCGTTTCTTTCTTCTCTTGCAAAATTGGGTTTCCTTGTTGAGGTGACTCAAGTAAAAACATCTATGTACCATGTTCCTATTCATATAGAGAATATTATTATGGCCATTTAGGCCTGTGCAAGAATGAGTACAAATTGAGAAATGGTCTAATGTACCATGATAAACTACGTTACAAGTTGTGCTTAAGCTTGAATTTAATTTGTGCATTGAAAACCATACATAAAACCATCATTTTTCTACAACTTTCGTTTCATGACATTCTGCTTGTCTTACGTTTCACGAATGTTATGGCCGTGAAAACGAGATTTATTCTAAAGGACATGTTGCTGGAGCAGGGTGCGCTATGAAAGTTGGAATTTCTTCTCCCGGCATCAATACTGACACCCCTTTGGCATAAACAGTCATCTGCAAACATAGAGAAAGTAAATTAAACATCCCATTGGTACTTTTCGTTCTTATGATTAACGAAGATGCAAACTATCCGCAAACTTGGGAGGCAAAGCTGGCAAGTCCCTCCCTTTCGTGTTGTATGTGTCAAAGGTTATAGACTCCATACGATAGACGACGACAAATTATATTAAATTTGAAGGTCAACTATGGTTGTTCACATAGATTGACAATATATCGGTGTTCGCTTGTTTTTGTTTTCCGAACTTCTAAGCCATCTCTGTGACTGTCGAACTTGCTTACTATATTCAACATACCATAGCGTTAAATTCGCCAAATTGGTTTACGGTAAATATAAAGATTAGAACAAAATTTCAAAAGTTATGTGATTAGACACTTGGCATACTGGTAACGACTTCACTATATCCGAAGGGGAAATACAAAAGAGTATTAAATACTCAAACCCAAAACTCAACAAAATTCATAGTACAATTGATATTATAAGAGTACCTAATATCCAAACTCAAATCCCTTGCAAAAGTATTTATATTACGAAGAATACCGATCTCGTAAATCGGGAAACTTTAGAGTCAAAATGTGATTACTTTATCTAAAAGCAATATATAACTGGCTAAATAACATCCATTCAATAAAAAGGTCCCAACGTAGCCCCTGATTGAGGACCATTATTTGGCAAAAACAAAATTTTGAATAATGAATTTTAGAAGAATACGTGGTTAAAAAATAGAGAAAAGTTTGAGTTTACGTGTAGAATATTTTATTGTGTGAATGTGTGACTGAAAATGAATATGTAGAATAAATAATTTTGAAATAATGATCGTCAAACAGGGGCATAGGAACAAAGTTGATGACCCAAAAAATCCCATTTGAATGTGAAACAACACAGAGTCGTCAAAATAACATATACGTAGCACATGTTTGACCCCTGTTTTCAAAACTCGTTTTTTTTTTTTCAAAATCATTTTCAACCATAGATTTCATGTGATCATAACTTTATTAACTTTTCAACCGTAGATTTCATCAACTTTTATCAAAATATCCTAAAAACTTGATTTTTATCTTAATAAGGCATATGCTATTCATCTTCTTGAAAAGTCTAGATCCTGAAGATGAGGACCAAGGGCTAACAACGGTCTTTGAGCACCAAAGAATAGGTCAAAAAACTAAAGCCAGAAACTAATTAAAGTTGGGAAATCTTAGATCAAATCGCATGCTTGAGACATAGGGGACACCTCCACTAACCCAAATAAACCATGAAAAGCAGAGACTACATTGTACGGGTGTCTCCCGCTGGTGTCACAAAAGAAAATTCATAATAATGGCTGTATAAAAATTCTGTAGGGAACAGCACTAAGCATATTATATTCGAAACTTTCTAGCCACATTGAGTTTATGAGGTTCCCTATTAGACACCTAAATCACGGCAAAATATTCGGTTTTCATCTATTTGTTTCTGTTTCTGGCATTGTCATCTCATGTTAGGGATAAGCCAGAAGTGGCGCTAACTCAGCCATCGACACCAGTTTACTTCACCAGAGTCCTAGTCGACGTCAAGAATTGAGTGACGCCGAAATAGGTTCAGATGTAAAAGTTCTCAAAGTTGGAGAGAAGGGTACAATATCCAATATAGAAAGACTACTCAAAGTATTTCTAAAGATTTTGGCCATTTTCCATTTTCCTTGTGAAATTTTCTCATACTGTCATTGTGTGAACTCATCAAGATAAAAGGGACAAATATTTATATATTAATCCTTTGCGATATTCTCAAGGATTCTCATTCTAAGATCTCAATTAAAGAGTTGTAACGTATTCAAGTGGTAATTTTATGAATAAATTACAAAAAGTTTAGTGTAACAACTAGCATGATAAATGCATAAACAACCACATGACTTTTCTTAGGAAGAAGCATTGTGATGACAACCCACATGAGTACACGATTTTCATAAATGAGTGATACAGAACTTGACGTTATTAGAGTATTTTTGTAAGGCGGCTAAAAAATGGTCGAAGGACGTGATTATAATTGGCTCACAAACTTTTAAATGTAAGTTGCAACATAATCTTTGATAGAAATTTATTGTTTTGGACCAACCATAATTGTCAATGACTTCTCAATGTGATGTTGTATATTATACTAAGCTCTATTTAATTTAATTTGCACAAATTGGGACAAGCCAACATGGGTAGTCCAATCGAAAGGCAAATAAATGGATGTCCATTCTCATATTGTGTGGAATAAATGGGGCCATAGTGTCTCTTCCTTGTCTAATGGAAGTTTAAGCTTTACACAATGAGTGACATTATGGTAAAGATGAAAATGATTGGCATTGAATTTGCTCCACTAATGCCTATATATACTATTAAAGAAAAGATAGACTACCATTTCTTGGATTGTTTTTGTGCTATAAAAAAATAATATTTTAGAAACTTTAATGTTGTTATATTTTAATAAAGTTTCATGCATCTATCATGGGTAGTAGTGAATGATAAAAAAATGCCTCACATGCTTCTTTTCTAAGATTACACCCAAGTAGAACATGACCCAAAAGTTTAAGGTTCTTCTCTTCAAGACATGACTTAAATGATTTTGAAGAGACAATAAAATTTATTCTCACTTTCTACTGCTTAAATAAATTATTATCACTTTTTACTGCTTAAGTATTTTAATTAGAGTCGCTGGATATCCATTTATAAAAATTCTACCTCTGAAGATAAAATGAATCATACATGCACATAATGTGTCGTTAAAGACGAATAAATAAATCAATTCTTTAAAAGTTTAAACTTTTAATCGTGATAGTTAAATAAAAGACTCTTCTCAAGTAAAACACATCAGGTCAAGAAACGTAATAATTAACATAATCAAAGGTCAAACTTAATACGTTTAAGCATGATTAAACAAGAAAAATCAAAAGTAGCTATAACAATAAAGTTAAGATAAGATCATTGCATTGGCCAAACTTGATTCCATAATTTGTGTGTGTGTGTGTGTGTGTAATGCAGTGAAATATGTACCAATGCTTGTGCAAATTTTTCTGAAAAGCGATTATACCTTGGGAGAAGGGTAGTTGAGCTTCCCTTGAGCCCTCATATTCTCAACCCCGCCAGGGCTGTGGCCACCGTCGGCAGCTGTTGATCTGGGGCGGAGAAACCTCTCAAAAAGAGCCATGACTAGGAACATAGAGATGAGAATGGCAGTGGCAACAAATCCAAACGACACCGCATTCACAGAATTGTCAAAGCTACTAAAATGATCCTCACTCTCCACACTACCTCTAACTGCTGGTGCCATACTTGGCGCTGAATATGCTGATTCAACTGTATTTATACTACTAACCCTTCCCATTCAGCAAAACTTCATAAAAACTCTATATTTTCACTATTTCTTTTTCATCAGCAGATCAAATAGTTAAAACCCCAGATTCTGTTCTCATAGAATTGCAGTTTATCTTTTGCAGTTTTATCTTTCTTGGTGATGAAAATGGATATTAGTTTCAAGAGAGGGAGAGAGAGATGAAGCTAAACGACAAGAAATGAGGAAATGGCGAATGGTGACTTTCAAGGCTTTACGCTAATTAATTTAACAAAAGTGTTAGCCTCAAAAAGTTTGATTTTTTTACCCTTTTTTCACTCTTCACGAAGAAATAGAAAGATTAAACAGAAGATCAATCAGGGGGAGAAGGAAGAGGAGAGTTTGGCTTACCTTAGTCAATGTAAAATAATAAAAATTCTACGTAGATCACTCACGCGTTCATGTTTACCACTCGTCTAATGAACCTCCGAAGAGTGTCACTTTCACACGCGATTTAGGTTATCCAATCAGTTTATTCATTTCGGATAATAATTTGGTTTGATTTTTGACAACGTTGTCATTTTTGTTGGCCACAATAGTTTCATTTTGAGACACATATATCAAATCCGTTAAATCAATAAAGAACTTTGTAAGTTTGATAGCCTTTGCTAAACAAATTAGGTGGTTTGATTTTATTTAGAAATGTAATATTAATCCCCAACTTATAGACGTTGAGGCAAATTGATCTCGAACTTTTGAATATGGTATTGTACGAAAATCAATTTATAAAGTTCCAACTGCAGTAAAACGCTAAAGGTTGGGTTTGAATGCCCGCATTCGAAAATTAGGTCCGAGCATGCTCGCTTAGCTGCCTATTTACGATCTTGTTTCACATCATAAGAGTGCCGAAATAAGCTAAGAAGCATGCTTACAAGCTTAATCCCAACTACTTATATCGAAATAACCCATTTTTTTTTGTCATAAGTCACTTATTTTATTTTTGTACTTGCAAATTAAAAATAATATTAAATTTCAACTAGATACAAGTTTTACAAAATAAAGTAAATGGCTACCCCTCTTGACCCATCTTTTTCACACGCTGTGAATTTGTCCAGACTGAGAAGAAAGGGACATGGGCCTGTGCTACTGGACTGCAGCTCGCTTTACCATAGGTTGGGCTTTGAATAATTTCAGGGTATCTTTTAGAGAAAATTATTATATTTTTTAGGCATTAATTTTTTTTGTTCGATAATTAGATTGTATCTTGAATATATACGCTTAGGTCACATATAAACTAAGTCACTATTTGGTCCTCGTTTTTTAAAATTTATTTTTCCCTAAACTCATTTTTAACCGTACATTTCATAAAACCTACAACTTTTATCAATTTTTCAACAGTACATTTCATCATTTTTTTCTCAAAATAAACTAAAAAATTAAATTTTTTGGTTAGCCAAATAAAGACTTCTCACAATCATACAATTTATAGGTCACAATCATTTACACGTCACAGTCACATTCCACCTGACTTTTTTAAAGTCTTTATAATTTTGTTAGTTTTGAAATTGTATTCTTGAACTATTATAGTTATGAAATTTTTCGTATCTTCACACGTCTGAGTTTGGTCTCATCACTACAAAAAGAATTGGGTTGCTAAAGGTTATTTTTTGGTCGCTAAAAATAAGCGTGGTTGGAAATTCACCATTAGGGAAGATTTTCAGCGACCAATATATTGTGGTCACTATATATATAACACACAGCGACCATATTTTAGTCGCTAAAGGGCTCAATCGTGGTGGCTGGTAAAAGTGAAAAATTGGTTGATTCGTCAATGTGAACATCTTTTACAACCAATCACGTGAGCACTAAATATATATCAGCAAAATGTTGTGTGAACATAACATCCAGTGACCAAACTATGGTCGCTAAAGGAAACCATTTTGGTGGCTGATAATGTTTTAAATTAAACTAGTTGATTTACACCCTTTTGCAATAAACTTTGGTCGGTAAACATAGAACAAAATATTTTCATAATAGAAACAACCAACCATTGGTCAGTGAACATTGATATCAATATTTTAACAGCCAATATTTTTTGTTCTTTATATTTTGTCTAATATTTCAATTTTCAACAACCAAAAAGACAATTGAAATTAGCAATTTCGATAATCAGAAGAAAAACTTAACAAGAAACATATCGTTGCAAAAGTAAAATTGTATTACACATATAACAAGTACTAATTGTCGATACATAACTCTAAATGTCTAATATTTAACCACAAAAAGATAAATTGTAATTTCAACACTAGATTGAGTTGCCATATTTACATTAGATTGAGTTGTAGAAGGTATTGAGACACGAATGTGTAATTGATTAGAGTGTAATCCTTGCACACGAGGAGATGGGCTTCCATTGTTGGAGTTGGAGGAATAGGAGGTGGCACATGCTTTGACTTTCTTTTTGGTGGCATCGGTATGAACATTAAAAAAACCAACAATGAGATCAGTATAGAAAAGAAAAATGTTGTTAGAACAGTATTGTCGCTAAAACAATCGTGAAAATGTGTGGGAATTCCTGCCAGTTGGTTCAACGACCATGGAGGCATGGTCTCTGAAATATAACAACAGTGACCAACTGAATGTATGGTCACTATAGGTGTCTACTACGCGGGAAAAATGCGGCTTTTTTTACTGCCCTAATCTTTAGCAACCAATTGAATGTATGGTCGCTGATACGTTGCATCAGCAAACAAAATATTGGTCGTCGAAGATCATAAAAAATTAGTCCCCTATTAACAGAACAAAACTTTTACCAACCATTTTGTGGTCGGTTAATAGTGTCTTATAGCAACCATTTTTTATTGGTCATTGAATCTTTGATCGGTGGAAAACATTTTTTGTAGTGCGTGTGCATGATTTTGAAGGGCATTTTTTGTACTTGTTGCAAGTCGAGATGCGAGGTCTTAGGGCGTCACATGTTGTTTTAAGTATGGTCTCGTTTGCTTGGCTTTCAAGGGATTTTTGTTCTAGTTGCACGCGAATAAGGTTCCAAAACTTGCAAGTATATATACCTCATGCTTTTGATACATTGGAGAGTTTTTTGGTAGACTTGGACGAAATTCAACTTGGAGAACCCCAACAATTGAGGTGAAATTGAAACTTGAAAGCACTATTTAAAAGACGATGAAGTTGAAGAGTGAGCTTGGATGTGAACGAATCATTCTTTTTCTCTCTCGCATTTCTTCCCAAGGCTTGATCATCGAAGCCATGGCAACGAAGGAATCCAATTTTTTTGGTTTTGGACGTATTCATTTTAAGTTATGAATCCTCTTACTTAACTTAGGAATGTACTAATTTTATATACGTGCATTGTACGTTGTATAGTATGATAAAAGTATTTATATTCTCTAACAATGTATTATTGATTGTGATCAAAAAATGGTAGAAAGAATAAGCTGATTTATGCAGGTAAAATCATCTCTGTATCTTTGCTCTATTGCACGCACTAACAAAGGGAATACATGTCTCAAATATATACAAGACATAACCAATAAAGAGGTGACACATCACCTAACAAACTAAAAGAAAAGAAAGGGGAGAACACGTGGGAATAAGCTAACAGAAAATAAAATAATTAATAATTCAATATCCCCCCCTCAAGCTGGCAATTGGTGGAGGTCGGCCAATCCCAGCTTGGAAACTAAATGATGGAACTGAGGGGCTGCTAATGCTTTGGTGAATATGTCTGCAACTTGTTGAGCGGAAGGAATGTGTTGAGGCAAAATGAATCCGTCCTTAAATTTATTTCTAACAATATGGCAATCAATCTCCAAGTGCTTAGTCCTTTCATGGAAAACGGGGTTAGCACAAATATGAAGAGCGGATTTGTTGTCGCACCATAAAGGAATGGGTAAAGGTATAGGAATGGCAAAGTCTTTCAGTATAAAATTGATCCATGTGACTTCACACACAGTTGCTGCCAAACTTCTGTATTCGGCCTCAGCTGTGGACCGAGAAACTGTGGTTTGTTTCTTGGTTTTCCATGAAATCAGTGTGTCTCCAAGGTAGATACAAAAACCCGTGAGAGACCTTCTAGTATCACTGCAAAAAGCCTAATCGGCATCGGAGTATGCTGTTAAGGTGAAATTCTGTTGTGCTGGAAAGTGAAGGCCAAGTGAAGGGCATCCTTTCAGATATCGCAACAAGTGAATTGCAGTGTCCCACTGAATTTGACAAGGATTATGGACAAACTGACTCAACTGTTGTATGCCATAGGTAATGTCTGGCCTTGTCAAGTTTAAGTATAGAAGTCTTCCAATTAGCCTTCTATATCTCTCTGGATCTGGAAAAGGAGGACTGGAGTTTTGTGAGAGTTTTGTCCCTTTTGGAATTGGAACCGAAACTGTTCTTGCACCAGCAAGCCCAACATCCTTAATGATGTCTAAAATGTACTTCCTCTGGTTGACATAAGTTCCCTTTTCTCCTCTAGCAATCTCAAGTCCTAGAAAATATTTTGCAGCTCCAATATCTTTGATGGTAAATTGAGAATGCAGATAGTTTTTGACTGATATAATGTCAGACTCGTGAGTTCCAGTGATTAAAACATCATCCACATAAATAAGGAGAAATAAACTGTGACCTGAAGAATGCTTAAGAAATAAACAATGGTCATGATTGGACTGAACAAACCCATATTCTGTGAGCTTAAGACTGAGTTCTGTATTCCATTGTCTTGAGGCCTGCTTTAATCCATATAAGCTTCTCCTCAGTCTGCAGACTTTGTTTGCTATTGCTGTGGTATATCCTGGAGGTGGTTGCATATAAACTTCTTCATCAAGGTATCCATGCAAGAAAGCATTGTTGATATCAAGTTGATGGAGTGGCCAGGATCTGGCTGAGGCTATTGCAATAAAAATCCTCACTGTGACAAGCTTTGCAACAGGTGAAAAACAATCAAAAAAATCAATGCCTTCTAATTGATTGTAGCCTTTTGCCACTAATCTTGCTTTAAGTCTATCCACACTTCCATCTGGTTTCAGTTTAACTTTATATAA